TACTATGCGAGACAACTTTAAACTTCCAAGCTGTAGGCCAAACAATGCCGGCTGCGCTAATCTCACACACAGCCAGCTAGACCGTCTGGAACACTCATCTCGCGGGTGCCAGCCCTCAGCACCGTCATTACGTATGAGCCAGCCTCTTTACAGGTGATCAACGCTTTCCTCTACTCGCATTTCTGTGATACTAATATTTGCTATGCATTGCCACTTGGCACGTCGGTAGGGGACGAGCACCCAGGACAAGTCCCACTGTCCTACTGTGGACTACCCACAACAGCAACCTGATCTAGCATATACAGACTCGCCCAACTGTTTACCTTCTGAATCGTCGCCTGCTCTGTTTGTTTCTGTGCCACACTGCGCATTACTTTTTACAGTTTACCCTGATTTCTGAGGGCGGCGGCTCTGTGAAAGGAACTTATGCGAGGGGGAGGGAGGTTCAGAGCTGCGTTGCTTTCAAATCAGGCGACGCCTACTGGGATCCGCCACGGCCCTAAGCTACTAAGCACGTGTTCTTCGTTTCCTCTCGTTAGCTGACCCTTGTGTTTCTCAGCTTGTTGCGTTATTTGGTGAATTGGCACGTCTCCCCCTTATCCCAATGGCAGCATGCTGGATTACTCTGCGCCCTCATGGGGACCTTCTCTTTTACCGCTTATATTTTATATTTGCACTTCTTGCTTCCGCACTGGCAGCTGCCTGAATCTGTTCTCACGGGCCTGAGTCTTCGGTGTTTTATACCTTGAGGCCTCTCGCACACACAGGACGCAGCAAGCACAGCCCTTAATGTCCGCTGAACGCAAAAAACGTCGAGGGAGAATTGGGGGTCCCAACACCGTGTGGTGACAGACCCGGCGGTGACCTCGAAATCCACAGACCTCACCGCAGGGTCCGTCACCACACGGTTTTGGGACCTCGGAGGCCCCAGCCGCCCAAAACGTCCTCGAAGAACGGCCTGAGTCCCAAAACCGTGCGGTGACCCCGAAGCCCCACCGACTCACCGCACGATGTGGTCACCACCCCACTTGGGAGCCCCCGAGAGAGTGGCGGGGCAAGGCGGGAAGGATCCCCGGGACAGTCTGGAGAACCAACAAAAGAAAACGCGCGACGGCGACGGCGGGGCTCTCCCCAGAAGGCGCCTCGCCTCCGGCCGCGCCGCGCGCCTTCTGCGCGCCCAAACCCAACGCGCTCTTCGGGATCCGCCCCCTCCTCCAGGGTCCAGCGCGTGCGGGCAAGATGTATATCCATATCCAGTGTGTCTTGGACTTTCTTGGAAGGGGCAACGCAAGGCAGAGGCGAATCGGATATGGACAAGCATCGAAATTTTATAGGGGCCAAATTCTTATTCATATCCCGTGCGCCTCGGGGTTCTGGGGAAGGGAGCCCGACGCAATTCTTGCCCGCAGCGCGCTTTCCTTCCTCTAGGTGGCGATATCCGAACCCTACCCTACCCTAATTACCCCAACCAGCCATTGGTTCTCCTAGATCGATGGGAGGCGGGGGCAGGGTTGGGACTGTGCCACGCAGTCGGAGAATCTCTAAACCCTACCACCCGCAGCCCATCGAGTTGCCGGACTCGTTGATCGGCGAGGGTAGGGTTCGGATTTCGCCGGCCGTCGACCAGGCCCTCCGGGTCCTGCAAGCTTTCCTTCCTCATTGGTGACGCACTAGCCAAAGTAGGCCCGAAGCTGGGTCGGCCACGGCCCTGTTGCGGAGCCCAGAAGCTCAGGTCAGCGGAGAGCGGGGATGGGGAATCGGCCCCACGTGGTTCCCAACCCTCCAGTAATTCTCGCCAAATCTGCCCAAGACTGCGTCCCAAAACCGTGCGGCCACCACGCATCACCACTGACTCACCGCACAGTTGCGGTCACCGCACTGTTTGGGGGTCCCCGAACCACTCCCCAGTTTTGCCCACGGCCTTCCTGGGGCGCAGACCCTACAGTCGACTAAATCATTAGGGCGCACGATAAGGATGCAAGGGCCTTGCAAGGCCGTTTCGAAGCTTTTCGAGTGGGGCGCGGCCAACGAGAGTTGCCAAGGATGGACCGAGAAGGCAAGGATGCAAGGCGTAACCTTGGGAAAATTGTCCATCCTTGCTGTATGGGTTGACTGTAGGCTGGGCGAGTGAACCCAAACCAAATGATTCACATGCGAACCCTACCACTGCAGCTTGGATTTCTCAGCAAACCGGTTGGGGCTCAGAACTCAAGGGATGTATGCAACCCCTTGATCCCCAGCGGGAGTGTCCGATACCCCAGCACCGATGGGACCCGCGCGGGCAACCAATGGGCAACCAATGTCGATACCGCTACTCTCTGGACCTTTCTTGTTTTGCGTTCTGACCAAAAATTCGCGGCGAGTCCAGCCGTGGCGACGAGGGCCTCCTGGGAGGCCTAGACATACGAAAGCGAGGCATGTGTAGCGGCATCGGTATCATTTCCTTCTCCGAGCATTACCTTTTTGCTTTCGGGACGTCGCTCGGCTCCCGTGGCCTCCTGGGATGATCTGGGCACCCGCGGAACACCCTCGGCGAGGCGCACCTGCTAGAACGCCACCGACCACCCACGAGAAAACGGTAGAACACCTCGAACCTCGAAAACCCTCGGTTCGCATCGAACCTCGACAACGACCTCGAACACCCCCGAAGGCCTCGAAGGCCTCGAAAGCCTGAACACCTCCGCTGAGGTGGGGCTCGCACGTCGTCGGCACACGGCGCACCGCAGCCGGCGCCGCCGCGCTGCAGGCCCCCTTCCCCCCAGCTCGGGCCTCGTTCTTGAAGGGGCCCTGGGACACACAAACAAATACACACACACACAACTGACGGGATTCCCCATACGTTCCTATACTTTCTGGGTCTTTTTTCTTCCCCCCACTTCCCATACTTTCCCACATTTTCCTGGGAGTCGACGATTCATGCTGTCTGTGTGGTTTCTCCCCTCCTGAGTTCTCCCCCCCGCCCAGGCCCGACTGCGCGGGGCGCCAGATCCGCGGGCGCCAGATGCGCAGAAGGCCGCCCCCGAGATCCTGGCGCCGCCGTTTGCTCACAGCGGGCGCCGTCGCGCCCGGCGTCGGGCCCCGGGAGCCTCACGGCTCGTTCCTCCTCCTCCTCCTCCTCCTCCTCCTCCTCCTCCTCCTCTCCCTCCTCCTCCTCCCCTCCTATTCCTCCTCGACCTCCTCCTCCTCCTCCTCCTCCTCCTCCTCCTCCTCCTCCTCCTCCTCTCACAGCTCGTTCCGGCTCGAGAACTGATGCAGAAAGATGGAGTCCTGGGCTATGGAGCAGGGACCGGCCGTCCCGGCACTCCTATAGACCCACCACGAGATGTTCTCAGAACCCAGGAGTGCTCTACTAACGCAACAAGGCTCTTGGAACATGAGCCCCATGTGCCAAAACAAGGCAGCCCCAGCCAGAAATGTTCAGAGAGCATGTCGCGCAGACCACAAAAGGCTCTTAGAACATGCTTAGGTGGGCCTATAGGCAAGCCAGGACGCCTGGCCATTGCTTGAATGCTGCACTGTTTTTGCAACGCCAAATCTCAAGGTCTGCTCACCGTTCGGGGATCTTCTGACCCGGGTCAATCCAACCCCGAGTCAGTCAGACTCTGCAGGATTCTACAGGATCTTGCACCCAAACCAGGGTTAATGCGACCCTGGCCCTGCAGGATCCTGCAGGATCCGGCGCTCTGGCTGACCACCGTTTGCATTGACCCCCGCCTCAAGGCTGCCGAACCGCCATGCCTGGCCCCCGGGCTGGAGCGGGAGCATGCGCCCTGCTGGCTGGTGCCACGGTGCTGTGCTAGAGGCCTCCCAGACGGTGTTGGAGCAGCTGGGGTCGGAGGATCGCACCGCACCGCCAGTGCATCGACGATGCATCGGCGATGTACCGGCGATGCATCGGCGACGTCGGCGATGTATCGGCGAGGTCGGCGTGGGGAAGCACGGTCTCCACATCGAGCCGCATCGTCGATGCATCGACGATGCGGCGCATCATCAGACCCCGTCTACTCGGACCCCATCTAGGAGGCCTAGCCTTAGGAGGCCTCCTACATGGGGTCGGAGGATACAGTCTGAGGATCGCGCCGCATCGCCGATGCATCGGCGATGCATCGGCGATGCATTGGCGATGCACTGGCGACGTCGGCGCCGTCGGCGCGGAGAACGTCGGGATCCACATCGAGCCGCATCGCCGATGCACCGGCGAGGCGGCGCGATCCTCCGGCCACATCCAGGAGAACTAGATGTGTGCACCATCCTGCGGTGGTGATGCGAACATGTTGAGCAGGGACCGACCGTCCTGACATTCCTATAGCCCTACCACGACATTTGCCCAAAACCCAAAAACGTTCTAAGAACAAAAACGATGTTCTTAGAACATAAACCCGATGTGATAAAACAAAACAGACTCCGCCAAAAATGTTCTAAGAACATTTCGAGAAAACCTCAAAAGGTTCTCAGCACATTGTTTGGTGGGGCTATAGGCGAGCCAAAACGCTTCGCCACCGCTTGAACATGCCGTCTGCGGACCAGAGGCGGGGGACGCCCTGCGAGCCGACGGAGCACACAGCGAAGCACCGCGGCCGCCGAGGGCCCCAGGCACGGACTGCCCCCGAGGGGGCATCCCGGCCCGCTGGCTCGCGCGGCCGTGCCGAAGGAATGCAGGGGGCCACTCGAAGACTCGGAGGGCATGGCAGGAACGAGCGAGAGGAGGATGCGGAGCCAAGGGCGGTGCAATACTCGCCATCGCTCGGACGTCCATTCCTCCTGTATTCTTCGATTTCGTGCGTTTTTTTTTTCGCCAAATGATCAAGGATGGCCCTCGATGGCCGTCGCCGAAAGAAAAATGCACACGTCCGAGCGATGCCAAGGGAACGAGTGAGAGGAGGATGTGGAGCCAAGGGCGGTGCAATACTGGCGCACACCCTGCACAACTCATGCCGCTGTTGCGCACATCTCGCAGTACCCTGACGCAGATTCGACTGGAAAGATGCCCCCGTGCCCTCCTGCTTCAGCTTCAACGTGGGACGTGCGTCCTTGGC